ATTTTGTATAAATATTTTCATTGTGCCATCATTAAAACCTGTGGGACAAAGTAGTTCAATCACACCTCTATAATTTCTTAAATTTAAACCACTGACAAAATCTGAGGCTATGACTGGATCCAGCCTCACCCAGGCTCCTCTCTGAGAAGGAATTTAGAAAGCAAGGGGATCCTTCCTGCAGGAAGCCCTCAACAGCAGGGCTTTTTTGATAAACTTTGTCCAAAAGCCACCACTCCCACCCACAACAAAGGGATCACTGTGCTACGTAGGATTAGGCAGCTGATCAGGGTTTCAGAAAAGGCACTTAATTTTGTTTCCTGATGGGATATTTAAATATCTAAATCTTTTTTTTCCAAATCTGTTTCTTAATTAGTTTATGTTTTTCCCATTCTCTTTGCCCTTCTTCTCTCCTTCTTTTAAAGACTAGGAAAACTAACTCTGCTGTACTTGAACCCAGGTATGCCAATATGCAAAAAATGTCTATTAAGCTAGTAGACAGTAGCACAGCTCTTCCAATATAGCAGCTGTTGCTACTACTACTATTAATGCAAACCAGAAAAATAAATGGGTAAAAAAGCACCATATAAAGATAAAATTAAGTCCTTATTTGTGGGAGTATTTTTCTCTTCAACTGTACAATACTTATCTGCTAAAGAGATTATACTGATCCCCTTAAAATCATGTTTAAAAGTTCCTTGTCTGTCCTTTTGCTGTGACATTGTTTAAATTTGCTGTGACATTGTTTAAAACACTGTGACAGTGTTTTAAGGAGAAGATGTTTACTCTAATATGGATTAAAAAATATTTGTTTTAGAAAAATATTTTGTTTTAGAAATATTTGTTTTAGAAAAATTTTTTGCCAGGAAAAAAGTTCAAAATCTATTTTACGTAATACACTTTAATTAGTTGGCTGTTTCTTAAAAAAAGAGGTGTCTGCAATTTCTGCATGTGTTTCAGTTCAATTTATTATGCTGCAAAACCAAAGACTTCCTGTATAAAAATGAACAATATGATATAACCAGCACCTTAGGTAACACGAAGGACAAAACCAGCGAACGTCAAACATTTTAAATTGTACATTTCGTGGCATTGATTGCAGAAGGAACCACCTCGAGGCAGAAGATGATTACCAGGTTAGAGAGGCTTGACGGCTGTTTTAAGCTTTGACCTTCAGGAAGATGCACTGATGAAAGCTGGCATGGTTCTGAGATATGAGAACAATGAATTTTAATAGAAATTAAAGGATTGGAGTCGAAAGTAGCAGTTTGAGCAGCATGGTTAAACTCACTCACTTTTCCAAAAACATTTTAATGGTGAAGAAATATGCTTTCTGTATGGCCTTGATTTATCTGATTTCTGGAGTCATGTCCCTTTAATCTTCCAGCAATGGTCTGTATTTCAGCTGGAATTGCAGCAAAATGAGGAGGATGCCCTGGCCTCTAAAGGCAGCAAGCAAAAAGCAGAGTGTGGAGAAACCAGCAGGTAAAAACCATTATTACAATCTGGAAGAAAGATTGTCCCAGTCTCCATAATAAAAATCTGTATTTAGTTGCTTATAACAGCTTGTCCTTGCCAAATTGAAATGAATTGAACTGATGTGTTGAGCGGCAGCTCAATTTTTTATCTTTTCTTCTAGACAGATTGAGAAAAAACAATTTTATTTCTGTAAATAAGTACTATACTCATGTTAAAAATCATGGTGGCTCTTTTCTCAATCACCCCAATACTTTGAAGGATGGACACAGAGCTTGGCAGTGTGTTGGACTTAGTGGAAGGAATTGTGCTTTTAATCATCCTTAGGAAAAGGAATCTATACTTAGGCAAGTGGAAAAGTTACTTAAAAATACCTTTTCATCATATTCAGTACTGAAATTCTTCAATTTCTATCTTTCCACCTCTGCTTTCTTTTGATTTCTTACAGTCACTAGGGTTCTGTTCACAGCACAACTGGACAACTGAATATGGTTTAGTGCAAATCCAGATGAGAATTCCTTTTATAACTCTCTCAGAAGACCTGGTCTAGAAGATCTCTCTTCCTTTGCTAAGACAGAAGGGTTGAGTTTGGAAAAGTGTCTGGCAAGCCTGAAGCAGAAAGAGAAGTAGACCAATCATGACAATTAATTGGCTGACAGTGGAAGAAAGGTAGAATAAAAAGCCAGCAGTAGGAAGTCTGTTTGGGTGAACAAGCAGTATAAGAAAAAAGAGCAGGTGCAGATAAAGGATACAAGGATACAAGAATGAAAACAGGAAGAAAGAGAACCTATAGAGTGAGAGAGAACTGCACCTTTTGCAGCAGATAAAACAGACACAGCTGCAGTGAAGGTTTGTCCTGAACAGTAGAAACTGGGAGAGAAGACAAGGGCAACATGACTCAGAGAAGAAAAATGTTTGAGAAGGAAGATGATTGGAACAGGGGAAGACAAAACAACAGTAGTGTGTGTTTAGGACAGCACATTAGATCAGATACATGAATTGAAGTGGATTTTTTTTAATTTTGTTATAATTCTATCATCATCAAATACAAAAAAAAAAGCATTGACAGACTGACGACGGCTGTTCTATCAGCTCCAAAGCTGCACTCCAGTGGGATAGATCCAGTGATATGGAAAACCAGCAGAGGTGGTTATCAGTGCCAGTGGAAAAAACATGCACTTAACCACGACATAGTTGACCTTACATTTAATGCTGTTTGGCTGGTATAATATTGAGCTTGAAAGGAAAGAACCCAAAGAAATTTAAAACATTATAGGGTTATAAAATAGGGCAAACATTGATGAGGTGGCATGCTCAATACCTGTTAATTGCAGGAACGTTCTGTGCAGTCACTAGGTGAAGTGACTGCACAGAACGGAAAAAAAAAGAGCAGGAAATTAAATACTATGTGATATCATATATGTTGTAGAGTTAGATTAAGCTCCTTAAAACTACATTTAATTCTGGCTCTTACTAAGTTTTAATAGTTTCCCATCTAAATGAAGCCACTTTAAGGTAAGTTTCTGAGCTAAATATTTTTTAAAGTAGCTTTTTCTTTGTGTTCTTGATTCTTCAGGTCCCAATCTCCAGCTGCTACTATGAAGCATCATCGAGACAGTCATATTTTTCAGGGGCTCAGAGCACTCTCAGCTCCAAGCAAAGTCAATGACAGATGCAGTTGCTTTGTTCTGCTGCAAATATATCCTATTAGTGCCTATGTTTTTTTATGCTTTATTAGTGCTTTATCCTGTGCCAAATGCTAAAACCCCTCAACCCCTGCTGAGGGCAGTGGAATTTAGGAGCACTTAACATCTGCTGGATGCAAAGAAGGCTCTGATTATGGCAGGCCAAAAAATAAAATTTTGAAAGTGACAAATTTTGACTGAAAACAGTTTTCTTGAGAGGAAAGAAAATCTTCTCTTTTTTTCCATTAGTTTAAATAATCATGTCATACCAGCTCTGTTTCTGACACACAGAGGTGTCGGGAAAAGTTGGAAGAATCAGATATTCTAGACAGTTCTCAGCTTGCTGATACCAGGCAGCTGTACCCTCTTGACAGATCCAGCATAGACTTTGCCCCTATCTACTTTTCAGCTGGATCCTGCATATTGATGTCCCCTTGTCATATTAAAAATAGGAACAGAAAAAGTGATTATGAGTAGTATATGATACAGTATTAGTCATAACTATCTTTCAGAGCTTTAGGATATCTACAGGGTGCAAAGGATAATCCTGAACAACAGGTAGCTTAGAAAAAAAACAGAGAATAAAATCCTCGTGTTTCATTTTGTGCCTTTGATCACTTGACCCCAGTTTATAGCCAGGCTGCAAAGATGCTCAGATTAAAGAGTAGTGAAGGCCACCAATGCATAGATAAGCAGACAGACAGAGAGAGAGAGGCTTTTACCAGTTTAAAAGGCTGCAATGCTTTTTTCACAAACTTTAATACATTCATATCTCTAACACGTATGTGGGGGATTCATTCACTTGTTCTCATTACCACTGTTGTCATGAAGAGAACTGTCATTTAAATTTTCACTTTTATTTCCCTAATACAAGACATCACAACTGTAAGCAATAGTGTTTGGGACAATTACTGAGGAAGTTACAAATTTTTTATTTTTTTGTATTATTATTATTATTTTAACAATACTCATATGCACAGAAATCGCAGACCACAGGATTGATATCCATTGTAGTCATGCCAGGGTGAAAATTAAAGCATAGATCACCCTCTGGAGGCTCCTGTGACTAAAAGAAAAACCTTAGCCCCTTATTCTTCCTTTGATGACAGAAACCCATAGGGCAAATTGACAGACTGCAGTACGTGAAATAATACATTCATCAATTCATCCAAGAAGGGACTGAAACAAGTAAAATATTACTGGTTCTTCAATTAGAATGATGGGGTGGCAATAAGTCATTTTTTGCATGGGCTGTCAATTTCCATGCATATTTGCAAGGCAGGGTGATATGGTTTGAAACTGGCTCCCTGCCAAGTCTCCAAACCTTACCACAAGACGTGTCCCCCCCAAACCTCAGGGAGAAGAGGGAGAAAACCAACCAAGAAAAACCAAAATGAGACAGAGACAGCTAAAGCAATATATATATATACATATATATATATTTACACTTATGTTACAGGTATATACAATTGAAATATATATACAATTTCACAAGGGAAAGGGAAGGGGGAAGGGAAAAGGAACAAAACCAAAATAAAATATATACACATGTATCCCGATTAGTGACCCAATATCTAACAAGTAAAAAGTTAGCAAAGACATATCTCACTACTCTCCTTGGGACAACCGAGAGTTGCTCCGGAACGATCGCCGGCAACCTCTGTCTCCCAAGGTCGGCAAGGCCCAACCAGGCCTCGCTCCCCAGCCCGGCAGACTCAACAGCAGGGAACCTGCACCTCCAAAGTCGCTGGAAGGAAAGAGAGCGAAGGCCTCTCCTCCTCTCTTCTTATAGTCCAGCTTACGTAAAAATCGTAGGGAATACTGGGTAAATCTGGGCCCTTCCTTGGTTACAAACTGGTCACCAAGGAAGGCCTAGCCCAAACTACCACACAGGTATATGATGTATATAAATGAGATATATATATGATGGGTTTCTTCTCTCTGCCTAGACCAAGCAAGTGATTATTTTTGTCCATCATTGGCTTAGGTTATTGGATAGGGGCATGTCAATACTTTCATCTGTTAATGTTTACGCACAATTTTTAGATCAGAAGAAATACTATGTTTAGTACTTGCAAAAAGTCCCATCAAAAGCTGCATAAAAATAAGATCAAGGAACCTCTGCTGGTGTGAATGGGAGGGGAAAAAAAAAATAAGACACCTTATATCCTAACAGTGTACTTAACAAAGTAAAATGCAAATAAATAGGCAGATGGGAAGCCACACACTCACATTGCTTCAAAGCTTATCAACAGCTGATTTCTTTGATAACAGACTTTCTTCTTTCCACACCACACCCCCAAAGGAAAAAACTGATTTTTGTTTAAGAACCTGAAACCGTGCACAGCAAAACTTTCTGTGTCCACAGTGTGGTTTCAGTCACACAGAATTTGATCAACCATTGAAATTCTGTAGGACTTTAAAATTTTGCTAATATTAATGCTTGTCTAAGTATGTGACAGTTCAAGTAGAAACCAAGGCTAAGCTGCACTAGATCATCATAAAATCAGAGAATCATAAAATGGTTTGGGTTGGAAGGGACCTTAAAAAACATTTAATTTCAACCCCACTGCCACGAGCAGGAACTGTCTATATTTTATTCCAGTTTTCTCTAAACTGACATTTAAGCTTCTCTTTCATCCTGTGTAATACAAAGGATTGATATGACTGTTAGGAATAATAGCTTTTTTCTGATTAGTTCCAAAACTAAGCCAAAGCTTTTCTGACAACTGTCCTAATTTCAAGTAAGAATATAGATAAAAACATGCAACTTTCACTACATTTCCTCTTACTTACCATTCTATTTGCGAGCACTAGACTAGTCAGTCATCATGACAGGCTATTTAAATAATCTCAAAATTCCAAACATATCTCAATACTTCAGCGTGTTATTATTTCAAGAGTATGTAAATCTGAGTGGAATCAGAAAAAAAACAAAACAGAAGTAAATCAGTAGAATTTCCTCTGCTAGATAAAACGCACCCATTTTTCTTCCCCCCCCTTCATTTCTTTTTATCTCCCTTGGATTTCTTGTTGCTCTAATTGTTGTTGTTCTGTACCTTTTGTGAAAATACCTGGAAAATATAGTTTCATATACGGGCCGTTCACTTAGGAGTTGGACTTGAGGATCCTTATGGGTCCCTTCCAACTTATAATATTCTGTGAAAAAGCATTACTTGAGGCCCAAAATACATGCCAGTGTTTTGGCACCCAAGATCCATACACCATTTCAGGACTACAGATCATATCAGATCCTGACTACAATGAAATCATGAAAGGAAACATGCAGAAAGACAGTTTTATACTAAATAGTCAATCACGCTATGGAAGTGAAACTGGAGACACCAACCTTATGGGTGTAAAGAGAGATAGAGCTGTATTTTTTCCAAAATTAAAATAAATAAATAAATAAATAAATAAATAAATAAATAAATAAATAAATAAATAAATTTAAAAAGCCAAAACAGGAAAAGCAGTTCTGCTGGTCTACCACGCTCTTGCTACCCTCCCTCCTCCTCTAACATTCTTTTAAAAATAGATAAAAGTCACATCAAGGTTTTGGATCCAAGCATGGTGCTGTTTTACTGCTATTTTAATAGTGGAACTCTTTCTCAAAGATTCACATTTGGTCCATATTTCAGCACCTAAGTACATAAATGTAATTTATTCCTTGAAGACTCCTAACCATTTTTGTTTACTAGTATGGATGCTCGCTCATGGAGCCTTTCTCCATCCTTTGCCAAGCTCTCTTTGAAAGCCAAAACCTAAAAGAGCAAATTCAGCTAAGTGAAAAATACCCTTGCTTTACAAACAGAAGCTGCTTTTCTTTTTTTCCACATACACTTAAAGATCAATTGCTGTTGCACTTTGCAGTATTTAGATGAAAGGTTGCTGGAATAGCCATATGCACTTTGATTTATTTGATCTTTAATTGATCCTTATCCCACAGGATCACACCAAAACTCTGAGACCAGAAGTCTCAAGCAACCCTGATCAAAAACAAAAATCAGAGTCATCCAAAACTACCAAATTACAAATGCAAAACTATTAAAACTACAAATAATAATTGAAATATCTATATCAAAATTAGAGTTACAGGCTCTGGTCACGTTCAGGAAAAAATAATGGATTCTATAACATTTAAACATCATGAGAATGCTCATTAGCTCTTCATGTATATGAAAAATAATAGAATATCTCTGTCCAATATATTCCCATCTGTTGGGGAATACTTGGGGAGGGAAATTTTTATGATAAGTGACCCTCTTCCTGTAGCATTGCAATCACCTTTGGTACAAAATATTATTTGGTACAAAAAAAATTATAAAAATTTCCTGTGTCATTCCAAACTAAACAGGAAGCAATAGCTGGATTAGCATGAAATCAAATTTTGGAGACAGAAAAAGGAGATTGCCCCCTTTTCCACCCAACCACTGAATCTCAGAGACTGGTTTCTTGTACAACTCTGCCTTATACTGAATTCAGCCTCTACCTGGCTCTATTTCAAGCATTCTATTTCTGCAGCAACAGCAACTGAGGCTGGTGCTGCCTTCTTGACTTTGTGTTACATAAGAACACTCAAACAGAGGTAAACTACATTTTCAACTTTAAAATCCCTCTCAACCTATTCAGTTTTCCAAAGGTGTAACAGAAAAAAGAACTCTTCATGGACAAGGAACAGGGAACAAAAGCTTGGGCATAGCATTATTCCTCTTCCTGGTAGAGAGAGAATTTTTCTCTATCAACAGGCCTGCGTAAGTCCTAATAAAGAGACAGTTATCAATAGTCAAGAATTTTTGAAAATACTCTCTTTGAAGTGGAGATAACCAACATCACTTTTTGTTCAGAGGTTTATAAAAGGTCCTCGTGGAAAAGTGCAGTAACAACAGTATAAGAAACTCAATAGAAAACCACATTTTCTGCTATTCAATTCAAAGTTTTGAAAACATTATAATGACCTTGCAAAAACCATAATCTGTTTTACTGCTGCTCTTAAAGCTAACAAGAGGGAGAGGATGAAATTACTGTGTATGCATTTGCAGTTTTATGCTCCAGAAACTACTCTGAAGAAAACATTTAGAGACATATAGAGACCAGTGGAAGAGGATAATGACAGCAGTAAGTCTTCTTGAATATTATTGTTGGTAGAAATACATCCAAGGATATCTTCTAATTAAGTAATTGTTATTAGAATCTGAGCCAGGCACTGGCACTAATTCTGACTACTTAGTAGCCATAAAATAGTCCAAGAGACAGCAGATCAGCAATTAAAAAAATATGGGACAGAATAATTTACCCCTGCTTTTCCAACAGAAATGACAGAAGCCACCAACATCGAAACTCCTTTTCTCATAAAAAAAACGAATTCAAAGAAGATCATGTTAGGAAAAAAATCTTAAGTATTATAAATTAAATGGCAATGGGTTACTAAAAACCCCATTTTGATGTTATGGACTCGAGTAACCCCAATAAAACAATTAGGGTTACTTAAAAGTAAGTCCTGTCCAAATACATTATTATTATTCCTCTGCCAGAGAAAATATTTTCCTTCATCACCTGTGATACATATTTAAGCTTCATATATTTGTAATGAGGTGTAAAAACTTAGTGATCTGCTGTTCCTCTCTTTCGCAGCTCTATAGAAAGAAGATAATGAGTCTGGACACAAAAAAATTCCAGTACAATTTGGACAGCAGACCCCATCAGAATATGTTGAACTCTAAAAACCTGACCCAGCAAAGCATTTCTGAACCTACTGTATATTAAGCAGACAAGTAATCTGATGTATTCTGCTGGACCTATTAACACTTGAACAAAAAACTTGTAATTTTTATTTAAATTTTTTTTTTTAAATAAGGTATGCCACATTTCTACATTAGGCAAGAGCTGATGCAAAGCACCTCTGCTAAGACCCTGGAGGCTATGGAACCTGAGCCTGAAAAGGCAAGTTTAAATGCAGACATACCAAGAGATATTTTAATTATATAATAAATGCAGAAAATATAATGCTAAATTTGGGGATTTTTTTTCTGTTTTATTAGAAAGAATGATAATACATTTTTTTTGAAGCTAGGAACTTTTTTTGTTCCATACAAGCTTCCTATGGTCAAAATTGGCTTATGCAAAAGAAGTTATAAAGTTTGCATGAAAGCCTGAACTTTTCCAGCCTTCTTATGCTTGCTTGAGTGACAGAATGATATTATTCTGAAGGTTGCACAGTGACTCTTTGATCTTAAAGCTTGTAAAGGCCGTCTCACATCTGCATGTTCTAATATTCCCTGATAATCTGACTTGAACTTCAAGGCTTATAAGACCTTGGATCAGTGATTTGCAATTCAAGTGCCTCAGAAAGAAAAAAAAAAAAGGCAGCTTAGTCTTATTAAGTGTTGTTGTGAAGCTATTACAGGCAAGGGGTTTTTTTTTAAGCAGCTTTGAAAGTTCTGTCCAGAAACTTTGCCCATATAAATACATACAGAATGTCACCAATATCACTGTGAGCTCCCTTGGGTCTCCTTTTCCCTCTGCTAACCCTAAGAAATCCACTCAAAATTTTAAGTAGGAGTTAATCACAATAATAAAACACTCAAGCAGGTAATCTAAGAAAATAAGATGGAAGAATTTACATTTTTAGCTTCATCTGGTAGATCTGCTCCTTTATTTGTACTGCAATACAAATTGTGAACCTTCAGGCAAGGATTGTCATTATGCAGTACTCTGTGCAGAGAAATAAAAGAGAAAACAGTGCTAAGATTTAAACAGAAAAGATGAGATACTAACACCAAACTCTGAACATGATGCAAATTGTAAAGAGAGAGCCTGAAATGATTGTGCAAATTCCTCTGGCCCAGAAGCCCAGCCTGACTGACAAGGGGCACTTCAAGGCTTGATGGGTCCAACCTGGCATCAGAAATGTCCTCAGCGGAAGGGACTGCACTGAGGAGATGAGACTGTGCCAGCTCACAGAAGCACTACATTACTCTGAAGAAAATGGAAAAGGTTGCCTACAATTTGTGCCCTTTACAAATCAAATTATGCCAAAGTTCACTCAGGATGAAGCGCTGCTCTATTTCTCTTCTGCTTTCCCATCTCTCTCTTTTCCGTTTCTCTCACATTTACATTGTTTCTCAATGGCTACACGAAATACTGACGCCACTTTATCAGTTTGCACTGTTCCACCTTTATTTTAGAACACAGAGTTTGCATCAGCGATTTTCTTAATTACTGTCACAGGTGTGAGATTAATTCTTATTTCTTGCCATTCAAGTTTGTGTTGGCTAAAGAGCAACTACATATATATCTAAAATTGTACTTGAAAGCACACTATGGAATACGGAAAACAGTAATAGATATTCATAAGGGAAATGACAAATTATTGCTATTTGGAGATTCACAAAACCTTCAACGACTTTGTTTTCATTTTCTTTAATTTCACAGTAACATTGTGCTGAATGTATATAACATTCCTCCGAAGGATATTGTTAAGCAAACAAAAATAATTTGTTAGTTTTTGTGGAGAGAACTAAAAATAAAAAAAAAATTTAAAAAAAGGAAAAAGAACAAACTATGACCCTCAGAATCATAGAATCGTGTGGAACAGATGTCATTAACAACTTAAGGCACTTCTTAGACATCAAACAGCACACAAGTGTTACAGCCTTCCTTGTTACCCAGGCTGAGAGGATAAATGTTAGGAGTGGATGAGATATAGTAACAATTTAGTAACAAAATCCTTCCTGTATTTCAGTAACAGAAAATTCATCAGAAACTAAAGCCTCACAAATAGCGTGATGTAACAAAAAACAGTGCAAAGGATGTTAAGGGGTTGGAATGGACCTTTAAGAATTGTCTATTCCCAGCTCCCTCTGCCATGGTTGTTGACCACAACTATTTATCTGTGGCCATGCAGACAGTTTTTTACCCACCAAATGGTCCATCCATCAAATCTATGCCTCTGCAATTTGGAGACAAGGATGTCGTGTGGGACAGTGACAAACATGTCCACATCTAGTTTATCTCATATACATAAAATGTGATTTTTTAACTTATGATATTTTCCCAACTCCCATAATATAATGTATGTTTATCGTTATAGATAATTTCTGTTTGTTAGGTTAGCAAAATTATTACAGCTCTGAATATCCCACAGTGTTGACATTTTTTAACTTGAAGTAACACTATCACTATATTTTAACTAAAACTGAGAAGATAAGAGCCAGATCCATGACAGATCTTGGACCCATAGAAATTCAGAAACTTTAATTCACCTGTAAATCTGCACTTCCATGCAGCCCCAGCTCTCTAAAGAACAGATAAACTCTAGTGCCTTAGTGTTTTCCATGCGTTTAAAGTTGTGTCTGTGACAAGCATCTAGTCCATCTCAACAGGTCTTAGTGTTCAGCTCCCATAACCAGAAACTAGAAACTAGGCTTTGGACCAGTGACTGCAAACAATAGACTCCCCAAAGCTTGACAAGGTGCTGGTCATTAGTCAAGACACGTCATTTTTGAGATCACTACAATTAATTTCAGACACTTCGTTTTGTGAAGGTCACATGCACAGAATCTCACACACAGCTAACAACTCAGCAGCTAGGACTGCTTCAGTCTCCCTCTTTTTTTCCAATACAATACTTAAAGAACTGTAAAAAGAAAGAACAATCAATCTATTCTGAATTAAGACCAAACCTCTTTGCACATGACAATAACTGATTATCTGTATATAACTAAATACTTCCAAAACAGTCAAAAAAGAAATGAGATGTAGGTTTGACTGGCATTCTAGTCTTATTTTGTGAAAAGCATTGTATTTCAGCCTTCATTTTGAGTTTATACTTCACTACATCCTTCAGAACAAATTGCAACCAGCATATTGGATTGTACATTTGTTGTTAAGTGTGTGGCCTTTAATAAAGGAAAAGTGAACTTTGAATATCTCCTGTTTAAGTGAAAGCCTTAAAGGGTGCCTGTGTTTCCAAACCCTGTTCAGTCTCAACTGGTGGAACATCAGTAGGTGAGTCACAAGCGGGAGAAAAGAAGACAAAAATCTTTTCTCAGGCAAAGCCTCGACCTAAGACTCAGAGACACAAGCTTTGTTAATAGGAGACAGATTACACAGCACTGACTGTTTTCACACTGGGACAGAAAGGAAATTGTGGATGTGGCTGCATCTCCCTGCAAAACATTTGTTTACAAAGAGAAGTTTTTGTATTCTTCACATTGTCTGTCACATGTTTGCAAAAGCAGCTGTGTGACAGACTGCTAATAAGAGCAGAGCTCTGCAAAAAGCAGGCATAATATATTGGGCATGATTAGGAAGATACAGTATTAATCCTGAACACCTAGCATGGCTTTTCATATGCCCAAGAAGGAATGCCAAGGAATACCATACACTCCCAGATGTTCCCAAATTAGGATCCATTCTGACAGTGGGATAATCACCTACAAAATGTAGATGAACAGGACAGTGTCTCTGTAGGGTTACTATGGGTTGCATTTTTATTAATTATTTCAACACAATAGTATGATGCACTGACTTGTGTCCACTGCTTCCCAAATATTTCTCTCTCTCTCTCTATCCCAGTACTTTTAAATGATATAGCATATCACTGGCATATTATCGTTGGTGCCATAGGGTGGGTAATTTTCCTATCATCAGTTTTACACTAATAGTCTGTAAATCCTCCATATGAAATTCCTGCAGGCATAGTTTTCTATACTGGATGCGTTTAGTCAAAGGTGCTTTTTGCTGGAGAATAGAATGTAGATTCTCACAGTGAGAGGGCTTTAACTGCCATCACCTGCCTTGCTGTTCATGGGAGGGTGTGTTCTTCCCACACAGGCTTGAAATCAGCTATATTCATGTTACAGTTGTAGAAAGCATATGGTGTATTGACTAGTATATGAGAAATCTAAAAATGGGCCTAAATCTGCTCTTCTGTGAGTAAACTCTCGTGAGATTTCACAGAGAAACATGAATATTTGTGGATTCTTGACTGGGTTTGAAAATGCATCTGTGCTTAAACTCCATCCAAAATATCCATGCCACTAAAATACTAAATACGCAGGTATTTAATAAAGTTACCTCAGAGCTGTGGCTTTGTGCTGGAGAATCATCTCTTTGAGTGAGGACTAGAGCTTATTTCCCAAAGAACAGTAATATCATGGCTTTCTAAAACACAAACTTCCATTGCTGAACTATTTATCAGATCTCAAAAATACTAAAAGTCAAAAGCTGCCAAACCACTCATCCATATCCAGAGATTCCTACACTGAATTGGCTCCAGCACATATGGCTGTATGTGAATACCAATTTAAATGTAGTGGCAGTGATTTAAGTTTTCTTATACAGAATGTTATTAGTTATTTAAACATATCTCAGGACCCAGGACTAGTACTGAAATTGTTTCAGTTGTATTGATTGTCCTTACAACACTGAGTACTTCTCATCTTTCCAACTCCTCTGTTCTGTAACTGGCCACTCATCATGAGAAATGATGCACTTCAATTTAATTAGCTTGAAAAACATCCACCTTAATCTGCTGATATTTTTTCATGCAGAATGCAGTCTCAGGGATATGTTACAAATATATTCTTTTTATTGTTTGGGGTTTTTTTTATTATTTGTTTTGTTTCTTTGTTGGTTTTTTGCATCACAAGGCTGGCACAGAGTCACAGCTGCTAACAGTTTTTATTCACTGCAAAAGGATTGTGTTTAATTACTTAATGTCCTCCTGATTTAAGGAATCCACAACAAGTATTTAACTAAAATTCTGCTATAATTATTTGAATGCTCACAAATCAATTAAAAACTTCTCACCTGTTGTTAGTTCAGCAACTTCAAAGGAGCATTCTGAGAAAAGGCAAAAATTACATAGAACAGAAAATCCCATCCTCACTTCAAAATCCATGCTGGAAACACGGTAGCCTGCTCTAGACATCGCACTGTGCTTCTGTGTAGCACAGTAGACATATTTCTGGTGCTCTGAATTGACAGGTTCTCCTTTATGAAACCAGTAATCACAGCAAATTCACGTGGCATTCAGGCAGGTGTTCTCTGCTTTTCCATGATTCTGCCATGATAATTATTCCCACTGAAGAACTGAGAGGACTCCAGCAATGTCAGCTTATTTAAGTACCACAAATTAACATTTCAAGCTCTCTGCTTTTCGGTGTGCATCTGAATGCAGGTGGCTTTCAGCAAACATCTGACACACCAAGCTCAAAAGGAGCAATTTGGAACAATTCTGCAGCAAAAGGGCTCTTACTTCTCTGTACATAGAGTTGGTCTGCTTTACTGTCTGACCCTACACCATGCAATCTTTCCAACCTCAGACAGTGAACCAGCCGTGTCACTAAAAAAAAAAAAAAAACCAAAAAAAAACCAAAAACCACAAAAAAAACCCACAAAAAACAAAAACAAAAACAACAAAAAAACCAGACAAACAAAAAAAATCACACCAAACAAACAAAGAAAAATAAATTAGACAAAATCTGAATCTTACATTAGAAAGACTTTTACACAACTCTGCAGAAATTTTTTTTCCATTATTCAGGCTTTCAACACCTGTGTCAGTAAGGGAAGCATTC